TCTCATATTATATGTACAGCTTACAAATGTTTAATAAAGCATACGTAACTAGCCTGACAGAGGGCAAAAAAAAAAATTAAGGATTTAAAAATTGTCAAAGTTAAAATTTATAATAAAAATATAATATGTGAACTCAAACTTTTAGAAGTAACTGTATAAACAATTGTATTCTGTATTTACTTACATTTGAATCTATAACTTATAGTAGATCATGGATTCTTATAAATCTAAAAAAATATATTATATAACTAAAAATATTATATAAAAATATACATAATAACTTTATTTAAAATTTTAATATATTATTGTTTATATTTTGAAAAAACATGCATCCAATTTTTGTATTTTTTTAATAGGTAAACATTAAATTAAGTTAAATATATTTACTTTTTTGATATTTTTAATTTCAAAAATATATCATTTAACTAAAAGTCAATGTGATAAAATTATAGGTTTTTATAATGATAAATAATTTTTATTAAAAATTTTAAAACTTCCTAAAATTTATAGAATAACTATTTCTCATATAATTAAAAATAATCTTAATAGAAATAGTCTTATTACTCTTTCTAAAACTGGATATTCAAAACTATTGATTTATAAAAATAAAATCATTTAAAAAAAAATTGTTAAAAAAAATAACATGAATCTATAAAACAAATTAGAAACAAATTTATTAAAAAAATTAATATTAAAGTTTTATCTTAGACAATTAAAAGAAATTTGTATAAAATTAATATTTTTTTTTTATATACTAGCTTAAAAATTACTTTTAAATAATTTATAAAAAGAAAATCATCTAAAATAATATATTAAAAGAAAAGATTAAACAGTTCAAAAATAGAAAACTATTATATAAAGTGATAAAAGTAGATTTACAATATTAAAAATAATGATCCTTATTAAACTTTTAGTATAAAATATAATATTAAAAATATAGTTTCAACAATAAATTTAAAGATAAAGGAATAATAGTATGGAAATAGTTTTTAAATAAAGTATTAAATCCATTAGTTAATTTATTATTTTTTAGAATAATTAATAATAATAAACTATTAGTTATAACCTTGATAGTTAGTTAAAAATTAAGTTTAAACTATAAAAAAAATAGAATATTGTTTTTTAAATCTAATTTAGAGTACTTAATTGAGACTTAATTTTGTTTAATTTAAACTAGCTTAGTAGATTTTCATATTTTTTAAATAATATGATTCTTTAATTAATAATATATAAAAATAAGTAATTGTTATATGAAATCCAAAGTCCATATAATATTATAATGTTTATTTAATATTTCAATAAAAAACAAATTATGATAATATAATTGTAAGTAAAAAAAGAAATTTTTTGATTTTTTTTTTTCATGAAAGGTTGAAAAAGTTCTTTTTATTAAATAATATTTATATACTTTTTTAAATTATGTATATATATATATTAGTCTTTTATCAAGTTATTAATGTTTAATAATATCTTTGAATTTATTTTTTAATATTTTTTTAGTTAGTTATAATATATTTATTGTTTTTTTTTTTTAATAATTATAATTCTATCTAATATTAATATTTCAGAAAACTTTTAATATTAATTCTATATTTAGTGATTAAAAAAAAAAACTTCGAAATAATATTAAATTTTAACTAAAGTAAATAATATTTTTTTATCCCGAATTCAGATTTGAATGTCAGAGAAGCCGAAAATAACCAAACTGAAATCCGCGTGGTTTTTCATAAATTAATTTCGATATACTGCAAATGACCAAATGACCATTAGGGGTTATGGAGAGGATATACCGTATGAACATAATTTTTTTTATTGGATTTAATGGATTGGTGATACAAAACTGCGTGACTCTTGGAACAAGTAATTGAAATTTAGTTGTTTTAGTGAAACATAAATTAAAATTGGCTTATGCAGATGTAAGTTTATCAATATTATAAACGTAAGTATTCTCTGACCCCCTCTAAACAACTACGAAACGTTATCGGAACTTAGAGTCTTATACCTTTTCATATAAAATCTTCGTCATTGTATTTTTGTTCCCGCTTGATATACTCTAAATCGAAGGCATATTACTCAGTAATCATGCAAACCATAAAGTGTGTCGTTGTTGGTGATGGTGCTGTCGGCAAAGTAAGCATCTTTTTTCTTCCACTAGATTATATTGTGTTTTGAGCTTTAGCTTTATTGCCTGCAATACTATGCTTCGATCGTATACCTTCGAAATTGGTAATATGGTCAACACCTAGACTGACCGGGTCTCTTTTTTTTTTTGACAATCGCAATATTGGGACCTATATTATATATAGATTATAATTAGAAAACAAAAGATAATTATCGGCCAAAACGAATTAATGAACCACAAAAAAAAAAAAAAATAAAAATAAAAAAAAATAATAATAATAATTAACATAATATGCATAATATGCCATTATTGTTTTTATCGTATTGATTCATCATTCTTCTTTTTCAGACATGTCTGTTAATCTCCTATACAACGAATAAATTCCCTTCTGAATATGTTCCTACAGTAAGCAGATATTTGAAATTCTTTGTTAAAAAAATTTTTTTTTTCAAGTTTATAGTCTAATGTTTATTTTTAAATATAATTTTGAGTAGGTTTTTGATAATTATGCCGTTACAGTCATGATTGGAGATGAACCATACACATTGGGTTTGTTTGATACAGCTGGTGCGTAAAAAACGAATGAATTTTTAGATATTTAATTTTTCTGAGGGCTATCAAGTCAGTTAGTCTTTTATTGCAAATATTTATTAATTTTTATTTATTACACGGATGTTTTTAAATGACATTTATAATTTGCTCGAATAATTGGGCAATTTGGTAAACAGGCCAGGAAGATTATGATCGCCTTCGTCCTCTCTCCTATCCTCAAACAGACGTTTTTCTTGTCTGCTTTTCTGTAACTTCACCGGCTTCCTTTGAGAATGTCAAAGAAAAATGGTTTCCTGAGGTTCATCACCATTGTCCTGGTGTTCCATGTCTAATTGTTGGTACGCAAGTAGATTTGAGGGATGATCCCACGGTGGTTGAAAAGCTATCGAGACAAAAGATGAGACCCGTAACTTTTGAGCAAGGTGAAAGACTCGCCCGAGAATTAGGGGCTGTAAAATATGTTGAGTGTTCAGCTTTGACACAAAAAGGTTTGAAGAATGTATTCGACGAAGCCATTGTTGCAGCCTTGGAACCACCGGTTACTAAGAAAACACGCAAATGTTTACTTCTGTAGATTTATTAATATTTTTAAAGATTTTGTATTTTGTTCCAATATTCTAGTTATTGAATACTTTTTATTTTATAATCATTATTTTGTTTACTATTTTCACTCAATCTCCCGTCATCTTCACTCACTTATTGCTATTATATAATACCGCTTTATTTCATATGTTAAATGTTATGCGGTTTATTTCTGGGTAAAATGTTCTGGGATCTGTCAATAGTAAAAAGTTTTTTTTATGTTGCAGTCAGTTTGGCTATAGTCAAATATGCATGACTGAATTATTCATATGTCGGATTTCTCTTTTTTTTTTTTTGGTATCAAAATTATCATACAAAAAAAAAAAAAAAAATTAGCATACATTCCTGAGAAAATAATAGCACTCTGAATTTTTGATTGTATACTGTACCTCCTGGAGACATTAAAATTATTGAAATAATTATTTGTTGGTGATGAAAAACAATTTGAATATCATGTTCGAATAAGTAAAAATTCATATGACCCAAGTTCGCACGAATATTACCACGTGACATGAATTTTTCCTGGTAACTAATCAGATTAGGTTATATTTCCTTTCTGGCAATGTTTGTTGTATTGAGCGAACGGTTGGGCTGTTATTGCTTAATTTGTGATACAGCAAGTTTGTGAAAATTGCGTCGTGCATATTATGTGCCTACATATAATAAAAAAATCATTACAGTATTTCATACAGTACGGAACATCTAATTTTATAGAGCGCCAATTTTTTATTATTCTGATTGGTTGGTTAAAAAATATATTTTTTAAACTTTAAGTTTTTTTGAATAAGTTCAACTCCAAAATCTATATTTTGAATCAATCACAATTGAATCAAACCATTTAAAATTATTATTGCTTTGAAGCCAATCAATCCATTATTATTATTATTATTATTTTCCATTAAATTAAATATATATGTTTTAAAACTAATTAATCTATTTATTATTTTATATTAAATCAATTATATATTTTTATTATTATTATTTTATTTTTTATCTAGTATTTAGTTAAATATATTATTATTATTTTTTTTTTTTAATCCACAGTCAGGCCAATATAGCTTGTCCGTTTTATTGTAAACATATTTGGTATTTATATATTTTATGATTTTCATATATTGATTTCTTTAGATACAACTTAAGAAATGATATTTTGCTTTCTTTATGGTTTGGATTATCCTCTAGTCACTCAAATCATTACTTACAGCTCATCACTGTAGATCTTCTGAAGTTTTAACTGTGATTAAAAACTAAATCATTTAAAACTTTTGTATATCTAACTATTTATTATATCTAATATATTGTCTTGGAACTTCATTTGTTCTGAGTCTTCTTTTTCTTCTATTATATTTCTGGAGAAAAGAATAGAGGAGTGATTGATTTCCTTAAGGACTCAATCTATTTTCCTAGTCATATTAGTTGATACTCTAAGCTTTTTAAGTTTACTAATAATTCCTTAATTTTATTCACATTTGATAGTAATGTTATAACATTTGTTTCAGACTTCCTTCTTGAAGATCTTTTTTATTTTTTTACAAAATTTACCAATAGCCTCTTGTATTGTTGTTACTGGAATCTTGAGAGCTTTGAGATGCTTTTTCAGGATCTTAGTCTTGTTCTGTATATAAAGTCATAAACTGTATTATATAAACTTTCATCTTGTTGTTTAATGTCCTGAATCTATTTCCTGTTACTCTTTTAACTTCTGTTTGGCTCTTGTCAGATAGATCTTTTGTTTTTCTGATATATTGAAGGATTTTATTTTGAAATTTGTTCTATATAATTGATCTTTCACTTTCGGTCTTGGAATATTCAAAAAGATATTTCAAGATTTTCTCTTGTAATTTGTAAATTGAGCATATTGTATTTGAATATACTGTAAGTTTAGTTTTCTTTTCTGCATCATTTAGAGGGTAGAAAGTTCATCATGGATTAGGTTTATCAGAAAACTCTTATCCTTATTGATACTAAAAAAAATGTAAAAGATATTATATGGATTGAATTGTCTTCAGAAAATTTGTTAGTCAATTTCTTTACTAAGGTATATCCATCAATCTTAGATATGTTTTTGTTCAGTCCAATCTAGTCCTATTTTCTTAGTGTTCCATTTTTTAAGAAAATCTCTAATACTGATATCAATAGTATGTTCCTTTCAAGCTACTATTGTGAGAACTTGACTTAGGTCAGATGTTTATTGCCAAATAAAAGGATTTTCTTTTCTGGCCTACTTTACTAACCTGTCTACTATATTGTTAAACTCATTGTTTTGATGGACCTTGATTTTTTCAAATATAAAGCAAAGGTTTTTCTTTTATACTAGGTCCTTGATTTGGTTTCATAGTGACTAATTTGTTATTTTAGTCCATTTCCTTATGAAAATAAACTTTTGCAACTGGATTATCTTTCTTATCTTGATGACTATACTACAATCTATATATATTATTGCTTTTTTATTTCAGGTATTGTAAAAATTACAATGAGTATGGCTAGTATTTCTGTTCTTGTAGCTGATAGCTATAATATTGCTCCTGCTGAGAATTGATTGATTATTATATTGTTCTCAATTTGAACCCATGGAAAACCCATTTCAAGTTCATTCTCACTTTTTGTATATTGCTTATAAGATCTATCAGTAAAGAAAGTAAATTGTTTTATATTGCTTTTATAGTTATGTTTAAGACTCTTTATTAGACCTATAATATACTTCTTTGATTATATAACCTGTTTAATCAGTTCAACTTCCCAATTCTCTATTTGTATCTCAATCTCTTTTGATCCCAACAAATATATAGTACTTGATTTATTTGTTGATATTGTAGGTTGCCAATCTATGGGATTTTTTGAAAGTGTAAATAGATTCTTTTTTTTAAAGCTTTCTTACCTATTTAATTGTGATAATAACTAGGTTTGGGATGTGTATGAAATTGTTGGTTGTTTTGATATATGAAAATAATAGATAGTACTATTTGTGATAGAATTATAGGTGAGCTAATATGATATGAAAAGTACTCCTCTATTTTACATTTTGACTTTTCCTATAGTAGTTTCTGTTGTTTCAGTCAAAACTCTCCAATTGATTTTCTGTTTATCTATTTTAGGAATCACATTTACTATTTGAAGTTTATGTTCAACCCATTTTAGAGTTCAGTAAGACTGTTTTAGCAAGTCTTATTGTTTTGTCACCTTTGTTCTAATTTATATATACCAGCTTGGAATAGGACCTTTACAAGTACAAAAATTTAAACTGCTCTCTATTCTCTTATTGTTAGTGTAGTCATATTAATTAGTTGATCCAAAAACATTATTTTGTTTCTTTTTAGAGAAGAGATAACTTTCATGTATTCTTTTTTATCATTTATAATTGTCTTGATAGACATAATGCCTTCTTGATTGTCAAAGATCTTTTTCCATCTCTAACTGTTTATATAATCTGTAGCTTCTTTGTCATAACCAGAGTTGAGTAGCAAGGTTATCTTTCTCAATTGTCTTGACTTCTATTGAATCATCAAGTATATTTTTGGGCTTCCAATATTTAAGTTGACTTTGTTTAAGTTGGATAACTGTTGCAATTCCTGAAGCTTCACTGTTATTTAGTTAACAAACAGTATTGTTATATAACTTTTGAGTTGAATTTTCTATACACATTTGAGCCTATAGATTTGTTTATTATATATACAACTATTTGGTATTGTTCTACAAATTAAGGCTTTGTTTTTTAAAGCCTTTCTATATATAGCTGTTAAATCATTGCAAACTTTCTTATTCAAGTATGTGTGCTACATTTTGTATTCCATACAAGGGATTAGAACTCTATTGATAATATACTTGACATGTTTTCGGTTAAGCTTTTGTTACTAATTACTTGAGTTACTGTTCTGATTTTTGTCTTGAGTAGATTAATAGTATCCCAATTGTTGTGACTTCTTTATAACCAGATACTCAAGAATCTTACTTGGTCATATTTATTTAATTCCTTGACTATTAATTTGTCTGTCTCTATATAAACTGTACCTGAATTTGTATTGTTCCAGTTGAAGGTCAGGAGGATGGATTTTTTACAGTTGATTTGTGAATCATTTGCCTAGTAAAATTGTCTGTTATCTTCCAAGATATGTTCCATATCAGCTTTAAGTTTGGCAATTCAAGTAGTACATCCATGTATGTTATCACTGTTTGTCTTAGAGAAAGTTTTTCTTTAAGGTGTGACTTTTGAACGTCTAGTATTCATTAGTTTGAATTTTCTTGAATTTTACATAATAATAGATTATAAAAAATTCTCCAGAATAATAATAAGATTGTTTCCACTTGATCTATTCCATTACCAGCTATAACTGGATCTGAAAGCTCTGTTAAAAGAATTGTTCGGCATTTTCTATTTTTAAAGAGATTTATGATTAATTTTCTACTAGTAGCTGGAATACAGATTCTATTCATAGATCTTTTCAATATATTGAGGCTAATCATATCATATACTTTGGCTATGTCCTGAAAAAGGATCCATAGTTCCTTTTCTTTTTTCTAGCTTCTTTACAGAAACTGTTTAAAAGTTGGATAGGTTCAGCTATACTTTCTCCTTGTAAGTTAGCAAAATTAGGTCTTCATAGAATTTTATGCTTTTTACATATATTGACAAGTCTATTGATCAGTATTTTGATAAGCATTTTCTCGTTATCTCTAGAAATATTATGGGTCTTGTGTTGCTTAAACTACAGTTCCATGGTTTTGACTTGGATATCAGATAAATATTACTTTCTTTCTATTTCCTTGATTTTTTTTTTAAAAACCCTCTGTCAGGCTAGTTATATGTACTTTATTAAACAATTGTAAGCTGTACATATAGTATGAATCGCTAAAGCTAAAACTTTAACTAGC